AAATGGTGGCGAACAGACTACCGATAAAAAATTACCAAATCTCTGCAGACGATGGGGTAATTGGAAGGCCTTGGTAGAACAGACTACCGACAAAAATTCATATAATTACGGCGGGCGATGGAGTAATTAGGAAGACTTTGGTAGTACAGGCTACCGACAAAACTTCATCTATTCACGGCGGATGATGGGGTAATTGGAAGGCTTTGGTAGAACAGACTATCGACAAAAATTCAATTTATTACGGCGGAAGGTTGGGTTAACGGGAAGGCTTTGGTGTCACTAGTAAGGGCCCAAATATCCAAGTCAACTTTACACCTGGTATATACAAAAATGTGCATCACCATCAAGAATGTGTAGTCTACAAGCTGCATCCTCGACCATTACTTGGAAATATTGACATTTCAGATCAAGGTGTACATGTATATCGACACTCGCTAAATCAAGATGTAATCACGAGTACCACTATTATTGACGTAGCAGCTGGTATCACAATCTGTGTGTTTGTACGTCACCATATCCATGTAAAGATCAGTGATAAGCTATTATTAGGATTGTGGTCGATCGCGTTCCACTGGGACTTATTCCTGCCAAAGGAATAACATTGAAGACAATGATCCCATTGTTGACATAATATCTGGTTTTATTTTGGTATTCTCAATGCACCACCTACTTAAAATTCTTGGTCGAATCTGCGAGAAGATCTTATTAAAAGCTTTCTGTTTACAGAGACGCCGCTCCGTTGTTTAATTTTTTAAAATTCCGTGAACATATTAACATGAAAGACAGTGACATGTTTACTGTTGTTTCAGAGTTCGATGCACTATTTTAAGAAATAAGGCAGTAAACAGAAGTGAGTTCAACATGGTGCAATTGTTTAATACCTCATGTAACATACACTTCGTTATTTTTTGAATCTACTGATGCAGTCAAACGAGTAAGTGTCAGGATGTTTTGAGTGCAAAGGATGCTTAGCAGATTCCAGAACCTTACCATTGTCCCGTCAAAGTTCCCCGGGGAAGATGCCTGATAATATATTTAATGGGAGTAGGGTGGGCTACGGAAGCAATTCTCTCTTTTTCCTCAACATTAGAACATTTTTGGGTTTATGATGGATTGTTCTTAACGTGGACGACGTGGCGTCCATTACCGTTTCTAAGGAACTGGAGCAGATCGCACACTGACCAGGGACAAAATGAGCAGCTCTAGGCACACACACCAATGTCGACTGGTCGTTCCTTACTCTCAGGCTTTCAAAAAGTCCGGTGGTCCTTCCCCCTAATCGGCCCTTGATACAAGGCCTAACATGTTCCAGATTAAAACACTCCAACCAGTCGAAGATAAATCTGCACGTGAAATGGGTGTCTTATCGTAGACACTCATAAGAAGCATATAGTGGTAAAACAAATATATCTATATATACTGTAATTGTGAATTTTACAGTCACACAATGTTTCTGTTTACTTGTAACAGAACAGAACAAAACAGAAAGAGTCTTACAACAGTTCCCGGTTTACAACAGTTTACAGCCAAAAGTGAGTTCCATTTTCCAATTCCAACCAAGGTTTGCCAATCAAACCAAATCAAATTGTTTATGTTGCGTGTCTGAAAGCCGAACAGTTCTGTAAAACCTTGGCATTGAAAAATCCTGCTATATAGTAATTTCCGCCCATGCACAAATGTAAAGCCAGTAAAAGCTTCTTCAACTTTGATTTATAACTGTGGTTAAATGCTTTTAAGACCCAACGTAAATAAAGGGAGGAACGATTTAATTACTGATACATGTAGTACCATTCTGAGGAATCTCGTGACTTTATTAGCATGCAAGTCGAAAGAAAGAAAATCATTGCTTATATGGATTTTCCTAACGTCGATGTTGTACACCGTGGTATCATGTATCATGGCTCCGATACTAACTTTCCAAATGGGTTTTGCTAAATTTAGACGTAGGCAAAGGTAAAACTAAGTACCCTATGTGCAGTTATTTTGACTCTTTGAGATGGAGAATAGGTGACATAACTCGTCGCAGAGTGGTATCACGTAATTCATTCTTTTTAAAAGTGAACACAAGTGCCTTTTAGCATGTAAAACAATGCGTGGAGGAAAAGGCGAGCAGATCATAATCGGCTGAATTTAGAAAATGTCCATCACCGTTCCAACCATAACCCCTTGTAATTGGACATGCTTTACTGTTTCGGACGCGTTGAGAAGGCGACAGAGCATGCCGTTCTTTACTACCAACATTCGCCAGAGTTCTTAGTTTAACTGTGCCGTTTGGATGGAAAGTGGTTTAAAAGCCACAAACCTCGTTGATTTCAAGTCATATCATATCTACCTCATTGATTTTGTCGGATTGTGGAATAAGACTTCTGGTTTTGCGATTTAAACGATTTATGTTCGTCGCGTGAATATGTGTTGTTTCGGTTAAGGTCTTTAGTGATCTGGAATCAGACACGGGCCTGTATGTATAAGAACATAAATGGAAACGTGGAAAGCTGAAATTGAGTTCTGATGGCTTGAAAAGTTCAGAAGAATTGAATTTTTAATTAGTGACGTTAAACAAATATTTACCCCATTTTGTAACTATTCCCAAATTGCAAAGTAATATGAATATCACATGTCAAGTTATCATACTTGCTGAATCTTCATTTGATTTTTTTATGCAGCGAAGTTATTAATTCACATGACTTGTAAATGAATTTGAGAACATTACAGGGTTTCAATTAGCAACTTCCATTGAGATGAAATTGTTATAAGGAATAAAATGGCTTCATTTCCTGCCGTTATGACTTGAAAGATTTATTTAATTTCAAGAAAAGAGCCGAATTTAGAAAATTCAACTCTCAAAGATATTGGATTTCGCTAGTTTTTGTTCTCTTTGATTACTAGGATCCGATATTGTATGTGCCTTCCGTTAAATAAAGCAAAAAGTTTCGAAGCGTTCCGTAGGTTTTTTTCTTGGTTTCTGCTTAAATGTGGTATTTTGGACTTATGAGTAGAATGTTAGAATAAATAAAATGTGAATTTTACGTCAAAAATCTTTTGCTCCTGATTGAGAATAGTCTCAAATGTGTGTAGTGTGCAATGATGTGAATTATTTCAGTGCAGATAAATTAGTCAACTATGCTTCAAACTGCTGAAGGTTCTTTAACGTGCGTTGAATATCCAATCCTAGTGAAAAAAATACAAAAACATTTTAATGTCAGCTATTTTGACCTGTGTCGGTAAATATGACTCAATTTGCCTTTTGAATTACACCAATAGGCACAATCCTTCTTCTATAAAACAATGGTCGTTTACTGCTTTATGGAAATCCACCACGGTACAATCGATTTATTGATAAAGGATGCTGTTTAAATGACGGACTGACTGCCGAGAGACGTACTACAATAGAACACTCAAAATGAAAGTTATGTTTCTCTTTTTCAACATAAAATCAACAATTAATAATCAAATCAAAAATACAATTCTAAAAGAGTTGACCAATCTTAATGAATAAATTGTACAGTGACCATTGAAATTTTAAGACAGAAAATCACCTTCCGAAATCCCTAATTTATTTCACAGATATATTGGGTAACCTTTTAGAAAATTGTCTAATCTCTACACACCGAAAAGAGTCCAAAATGTTACTGAATATTGTTTTATTTACAAAAATGAAGTAGTGATTTAAGCACATCGAAAGAAGGCAGATTTCATATAGAGTTGCGATTGTAAAACTTGTTTCCTCCACAATAGCGTTCATTTCCCCTGATTGCTGTTGCGAACGACTTCAGTTCAATAGTCGGTTCTAAATATGAGCGCGATGTAGAACGTTCGAGTTTTCCTATTGTAACTATATAACCTACATAATATTAGCAAAAACATCGCTCGAATGCAATTCTAGTACCATTTTTGTTCATTTCCACAATATCAACCGGCGATTAAAGCGAAATTGCGTTTTTCGCCTTATCTTGTAACATCGATAGCCTATTATTTTAACACAATGACGCTCGTCGCAAACAAATGTATCTCAATAACATTCCACTTCCAGGCTTATTTTAATGCAACCAAGTTTTAATGCAGCCAAGTACGACTTTCTTCCTACACAAAAACCTACGAACATCGTTGCTAAGAATATTAGCACTTCGTTTCAACATCCGATACTGTACTGTTTTGTGGATACACAAAATTCACTTTTCAATCCTCACACAATGGTAAGCCGTCAATATCACTAAAAGTATAGTCTGGTTTGTGTGCACTTAAACTGAAACCACTTTCGTCCCGATATTTACACATTGGTCTAACCAAATTAAGCTCCATTCGCTTATAAATTTTCATAAAATCGCTCAGGTACATCGACCTTCTGTCCAACGGTCATTTGGGAATAATGAATGGACTTTCTTGTCGTACAATAAGTGTTGAACCATGACAAAAGATGATTATAAGGAACATTTCAGAAATGTACACATTAACGAAGAACAACTTTGAAACCTCCATGATGATGGTCCATGATTTTCATGCAATAGAACAGTCTCTTAGCCAAAATAAGTTAAACTAAAGCACATGATGAAGGAGTTGATTATCGTCGAGGAAACGCACAGAATCTTCACAATGTACAACATTCAAACTTCTGTCGGTCCGTGATTTTCATTTGGGAGAAACGGATAAACCGATTGGTACACTTTTTCCTGGCGTCCAATATGAGTCAAACCAACATCGGTGGGCAAGATATCAACCGGAAACATCGGGGTCGAGGTCGAACCATTACACGACTCTTGCTTGTACTTGAACTTCCGGGTTGATCCACGTCCTTGACCCTGACACAAAGCTTTATCTTTAGACTGGCACGTTTTCGCCCGTGCTAGTCAAATTTGCGACGTCTCTGTAGCATCAGTTGGATTGCGGAAGAAACGTCGGCTTCCGTTGTTAGCAAAATTATAACGTACTGTGATGTTGCGGGTGACGCTACAGCGACGGTAAGTGTGGTTCCCATCCTCGGAATAATCTATGTACTCTTTGTTTTCTGGTTGTACACATTTACATGGACACATTGAAAACAGGATTCGGAATTCTCTCTTAAACTTTTCCTGGAAGAAGGAAAAGATAACAGGTATAAAAAAAACACTAAGCACTCACTAAGTTCTACTACTACATAAACTACTTACAGATCATAATGAGATCTCGGCTATTGACAGTTCGGGCAATTTGAATAACATTGTTCAGGTAGCCCTGTGTAGCTGGTGCTCATATCTACGGCTTTGCATCATACTAAAATGGGTAAAACCGTTGTACTTTCAATGTTCTGTTTCTCGATTTAAGAATTCTTTAATACTTTATGTTGGTTTTCATTTAACTACGGGCGCATACAGTATCATATACTACGTATAACTACCGAGACATCAGATTTTTCTCCGCTACCCAAATGGCATCATGTAACGATTCTAACACTCTAACCTAATGTGCTACAGCCTGTCTTTAATTAATTCGAAGCAACCTAACATTTATTTTTTCCAGTAGCTGAAGATCCGTATGCATCAACTATTCTACTATGGTTCATTATTAGGACAGCAAGTGGTCTAATGCCCATTCAGTTATGATCCTTTTGATCTCATTGGAAACAAAATCAACAAACTGTAAAATATTTCATTATATTCTGCACTAAAACAGTCTGATGAGTTTTATTTTCTCGTTCTGTCAGCAAAAATCATTAAAAATACCTATTATCAATTTCCTAAGAATTCTTTTATATAACTCTTTTTGATAAACAAATCTTTCATAAATTTAATAAATTGACATTCCATTCTTTATGATTAAGTCTTTTAATGTAAAAAGATTTTTCATTGTTAATGGGTCTCATAACACGAACACGAACAACAATTTCAATAAATCTTTCGTTTTTATATGTTAGAATTGATTTTTTCCAATGGATTATATTCAAATATTGCTGCGTTTCCGGATTCAAATGTTCTGTATTTCGGAAATATAGTGAGTTAAATAATGCGTCTTTCAAATCAAGGGCAATAACTCGACAATGCATTCATCTGACGAACAATAACAGAAATTGATCACAAAATTTTAAACTCTGATACGAAAGCAGCTAAACTCGATAAATCAATTGTGAAGAGTTAAAACATTGCTATAAATTTTAAGTTGGATTATCTTAATGAAGAGTGCTTATGTATGCTGGCAACTCAGGTTCTCCTCAATTGGACAGCTTGTTTTGAAATTGTTTTCGTATGCCAATACTGGACGAATGAGCTTTTTACACGGATTCGGCTCTAAACTCCTCATTTTAAATTTGGTCCAATGAGCGGCAAATGTTTGCTGCCCACATGAGTTCGGGTGTAGGCAGATAATGAATAAGTGACATTCTGTCGCATAAGCACTAATATGCTGCCTATAGGGGTTCGGATTTAGAGTCATTTTGACAGTTTATTTTAAAATTGGCTTCGTATGCCAATACTGGGACGAGGTGCTCTACCGATTAGCTGCTAATAAAGATTCGACTCCACATTAGAGCAACTGAATTAGAAATTTGTGTTAGAATACGCTGACCCACGAGCACTAACTATATGCTTTCTACATGGGTCTGGATAAAAATCAAGGTATTTATTGAAAATTTAGTGTGTCTTTACTTATACACATGAGTAAGGTGCTTGAATTTAGTGAAAAGTCAAAATAAAATTGGTGCAGTATTGTTAACAATAATGAAAGTGCACGAGGTAGTGCTAAGCCTAGTGATATGTATGTATGTTAGGACACAGGGTACTGGTACTAAAAACCAAGAAATCAACAATACAAATAGTCCCGACAAGAAGTACTAATTGAGCGCATATTGGTAATGCTTAAATCCTTTATCACGAATTTTCATACGACGTACTTCTGCGGAATCACAACTTTAACGTCACGGTTGTATCGTTCATTGTTAAGAACTTGAGCCAAATACTACAAAAGATCCTTAAGTCTATTTTCAAACTAATGGGGTACCAAACTTTAAATAAAAATAAATCGAATACTTACGTTACATAAGCCATAAATAAAAGGATTATAACATGAATTACTCATAGCAAACCAGTTGGAACTTAACCAAATGATGTTGATATAATGGTATCTGAAAATATAACCAAAAGGATTGATGTATTTATTGGCAGCAATTAAAATTGGATCGATGGGCTTTATGTCTAGGTTGTTCGGATGTTTGCTGTTCTTGATAACCGTATGAAACAATCTGCACAAGCAATACAATTTCTTCAATCAAAAATCTCGTTCACAGAAGGAACAAATCGGGAGTAAAGATCGTATAGCAGTGGACTCCTCCAAAGAAACGTCGTTTCAAAAAGAGTAAGGTAATCTGCTTCGCGTGGATCCACAACCAAAATGGTCAAAATCATGAGATACAACCAGATAAATTCATGCCTGACCCAACAAAAGTCTACACTTAAAGAAAGGTTTGCGAATACAAACAAATGCTAACGATAAATGTAAATATAGATGAAGAAAACTTTTTCATACAACCGCAACAAGTAAAATCTGAGCGAAACTGATTTCAACATACACGGCTTTACTATTATTTTATTGTGACTCTTGCTGACCTACTTTCAGTAAATCAACAATAACAGTTGAAATAACCATTGGCAAAATTGACATTTAGCGTGGACTTAAGCAATAAGGTATGCCGAAAACGATAGGAATGTCTAAAACAATCCCCGGCCTCTAGGGCAGGGCGTGGAATGCTTCTTCCTTTATATATTTTCGCTTATCTCCCTTAACTTGATATTCAGAATCAACATTAAGGGAAATAACTCTTCTGTATAAAAAAAAAACCCTGTATATTCGGGCAGATTGTAGACCTAAAAAAAAAACTCCAACAAAGTTTTGGTCCTGAGAGTTGAAAAAATACCACTATTGAACAATTCAGGGCGTGTAATTATATCATATAGAATCAACATTAAAGGAAATAACTCTTGTGTAAAAACTGTAGATTGGGGTGGATTGTGGACAGGCGTTTAAAAAATCACAAAGTCTTGGTCCTGTTTGCCATTTAGGTTGCTTGAGAGTTGTAAAATTACCACTACTGAACAATTCAAGGCGTGTAATTTACATATATATGCAAAATCAGGACAGAAAAATGAGACTTAAAAGTGTTCGTTCACTGCAAAGTGGCTGTATCAAACTGCAAGTTGGCCTACCCTTCAATTTAACGTTAAATCATAAAGTCGAATATTGATCGTAAAAAGCAGACTCAATTTTATTTCTTTAAATGCCACAAGCATCATTTTGACTCGATTCAATAAACTGGAATATTGGGGTTTTATATTGCTTTTAGAACATCTTCTCTTTCTTATAAGACGAAACTTTTTCTTGACGATTTCTAAGCGTTTACTAACAGGGAACTGAAAATAAACCCTGTGATACAGGCAGATGTAGGGGCAAATTATTAAATACTTACACAATATTTACTACCTCTTGACCAAAATATTTATATTTTCAAACTTAGTTATAATGAGTTTTTAATCATCAGTGGACTTACCTGGTGTCATAACTACAATATCCCTCTTTAATCAAATATAATGCATAAAATTAAGTAATTATCAATAAAACTAAGTAATAATTTATTAAATTAAGTCATTTTGAAACCTGCTTAGAAGCGTGTTTCAATTTTTTTTTTATTGATATTTCGTCTTATATAGAGATTCTATTCTTTAGTTATGGCACCTGGTAAGTCTAACTGATGAATATTTACACTTATTGACAGTATGAGGCTTTAAATTGTATGTCCATTCTAAGAGGTTATATCTTTTTGAAGAGAAACCTGAATAAATACCTGAATCACTGTTGTTTTTGTGCATATCTATTTAAGTCGATGATGTGGAGGAGGGCCCTAATTACGAAACACCCTGTATATGCCAAATTGAATTTATTTTTTAAAGCCATTTTAATTTATATCATGAATATAAGAGCTCTTTTTATTTCTGAATGACAAATCAACTTGTATTTTCTTATCTAAAAGGCGTCACAAATCAATATATTAAAAATTTGCAATTTGTATTCAATAAATTCATTAAACAATAATGAAATAATTAGAAAATCTGTTTTTTCACCAAAAGGTTAAAAAAAGCGTTCATGACCTGGGTTATGTTAACCTAACGTGTTGTATTCTTGTAATTTATGCAATTGTCAATGACCCTAAGACCCTAACTATAACAGATGCAAATAATTGCTGTTTGTAGCTGAATTATTTCAATTATTGACGTTTTTCGCACGAAGAGATATTTTGTCATTACTCAATATATTTCATACAAATAAGGTCTCAGTACAGCCAAACGTCTTCTGGATTTGTTAGTTGGAGACAAAAATAATTGGTGCGTTTCTTGGCAGATTTTTCAAGGCGATACATAAGGTATAAAATTCACGTTGAAGAACTTGTGATGGCGTGACAGGAAATTGGGCGAATGATAACAATATTGTTAGTCGAAAAATATGTCTTAATGTGAAACTTTGAATTACTCGATCTATGTCTAAATTGACAACATGTATCTTAGTCTATGTATAATTTGACAACATGTATCTTAGTCTATGTCTAATTAAACAACATGCATCTTAGTCTGTCTAATTTGTCAACATGCATCTTAGTCTATATATAATTTGACAACATGTATCTTAGTCTATGTCTAATTTAACAACATGCATCTTAGTCTGTCTAATTTGTCAACATACATCTTAGTCTATATCTAATTTGTCAACATACATCTTAGTCTATGTCTAATTTAACAACATGCATCTTAGTCTGTTTAATTTGTCAACATGCATCTTAGTCTATGTCTAATTTGACAACATGCATCTTAGTCTATGCTCTAATTTGTCAACATGCATCTTAGTCTATGTCTAATTTAACAACATGCATCTTAGTCTATGTCTAATTTAACAACATGCATCTTAGTCTATGTCTAATTTAACAACATGCATCTTAGTCTGTCTAATTTAACAACATGCATCTTAGTCTATGTCTAATTTAACAACATGCATCTTAGTCTGTCTAATTTAACAACATGCATCTTAGTCTATGTCTAATTTGACAACATGCATCTTAGTCTATGCTCTAATTTGTCAACATGCATCTTAGTCTATGTCTAATTTGACAACATGCATCTTAGTCTGTCTAATTTAACAACATACATCTTAGTCTATATCTAATTTGTCAACATACATCTTAGTCTATGTCTAATTTAACAACATGCATCTTAGTCTGTTTAATTTGTCAACATGCATCTTAGTCTATGTCTAATTTGACAACATGCATCTTAGTCTATGCTCTAATTTGTCAACATGCATCTTAGTCTATGTCTAATTTAACAACATGCATCTTAGTCTATGTCTAATTTAACAACATGCATCTTAGTCTATGTCTAATTTAACAACATGCATCTTAGTCTGTCTAATTTAACAACATGCATCTTAGTCTATGTCTAATTTAACAACATGCATCTTAGTCTGTCTAATTTAACAACATGCATCTTAGTCTATGTCTAATTTGACAACATGCATCTTAGTCTATGCTCTAATTTGTCAACATGCATCTTAGTCTATGTCTAATTTGACAACATGCATCTTAGTCTGTCTAATTTAACAACATGCATCTTAGTCTGTCTAATTTGTCAACATGCATCTTAGTCTATGTCTAATCTGACAACATGAATCTTTAGTCTATGTCTAATTTGGCAACACGCCATCTATGTTACGTGTTAAGGAAACAGTATTGTGTGATTTGCAGTTCGGATTCGGTTATGTTCCACTATAGAATATTTTTATGTTATCTGCATAAGTCGAACAAGGTAGCAGCTAATAGGTTGGCGATTTCCATAGCAGAATGACATCAATAGCAACCATATTAAAGTACAGATTAGAAGCTTGGGAAAGGCAAGATATAGCTAGATAGATAGATTGAAGTATGGGGCAGTAAGACATGTAGAACGACTTTTTATGAAGTGCAGTTTCAGATCCTGACCAGTCCCTTAGATCTATTTTGATCCCAACTGAAAATTTTTCATGAGAATTCTTAACAGTTGAATTTGATTCGTGCACCTGAAAAATACAAATTTCAAACAGCTCACCCCTTAAATTTCGAAATTGGGAAATTCTCACAAAGAATCAAAAGCTTTACTGTATAAAAGAATGGAGACGAACTACATAAAGTGTTTGCTATCATTGTGATTTTTTTTTATACTGGGTGCTTATTAATATAACTGTCTATCTTCATAAAGATATCTTTCAAGTGTTTATTGAATTCAAATTTTAAAAATCTCACATGATCCTACATTTAGACCGAGTTCAACAACGTTAGCCAATTCTCCACACAAAATGTTAATTTTGAAAACGCGTTCGTTGTCTGCATACAAGATAGGTAATTTGAATATTTTGTTGAAGTCTGGAACTCAATCTCATGCTAGATACAATGGAATCCCAAATTCTTCATTTACATGTTGAATTAAACGCCGTGGGTGCCTCCTAAGGACTGGTTATGTGGCCGAATCGAAATCCGCAAAAAAAAGGAAGGGAACGGATCAACGGAAATTTTGGACAACAACTTAGTGCTAGAAATTTCTTTTCAATAATAGTTAAAATACTTCCCCATCTTTGATTGCTTTACTTCCTGTGAAACGTTAATTGGCTGCAACCAATGGTTTTGCCAATATGACCAAGTTGTAGCAAAACCAAATGTCTTGAAGGGCGAGAAGGTGATCTCTGCCTTAAGCGTAGCACACCACTAAATTTAATGCACATACAATAGTCTGCCACCTCTTCCACAAGTGATGGAGTAGCTGGCAATAGACATTTGAAGAATCATTTTTCTAAGCAGTCAAATCCGACAACTAATTATTGCAGTGAACAAGTCATATATTAGAAATTAAGATCGATTGCATGGAATAATTCACCACTCCACTGTTTATCTTTATCTCAATGGTAATTAATACAGAGGAATGTGTATAATATGTAGAACAGTATGCCTTAGCCTAAATTACACAAGGTTACGAAAAGTCAAGGTATAGAACAGTTTGGAATAAAATCTCCATTTGATACATTTACTATTAATACATCATTATATTAAGATAC